AGGAAATTTGTGCATATTTTTTTATGTTTCTCTATGCTAAAATACGACATGACTTTCCTGACAACTCAAGGTTTTAACCGCAATCAGTTAAGATGACTATGTCTTGGGGCCAGCAGGTGGTGTGGTGGCTAGGGCTCTAGGCTCCTGTGTGGCCAACTGCAGTTTATGTCCCAGATCTGCCGCTTGCTGTCTCACTCACCCCACCCCTCCCTCTCTCTCTCTCTGGTGAGTTCATGTGCCCTATAGAAACTTTAAAATAACAGTAATAATAAATAAAATTAAATAGATAATTCTTTTTTATATAAAAAAAAGATTACTATGCCTTAACTCCAACATTCTTTCATGCCCAGGATGTTTTGTGATGTGTGTGTGTGTGTGTGTGTGTGTGTAGGATATCGGTCGTCATAACTTTATTTTTCTTAAAGAGAATTCTCTCTAAATTGGTATATCTTCAGGCCTCATTAAGCTTGGATTCACTTCACCTATGTTAATTTTAAAAATGTAAAACTTTCACTTACCTTTGATTTCCTACATGATTTTTCAAAAGTCCTACAAGTGCTTCCAGTGGAAACTCATGGGTCTTGCAGATTCTGTTTAAAGGAAAGGAGAGAAAAAAGGGCCCAGAGAGGGCAAGACAAAATACCAAAACTCACCATCATCCACTGTAAGATAACCATCAGAACTAAAAAGAGTTAGAAGATATTTAACATTCTGACAAAAATGTATATAGAGAGAATAAATCTTTCTATGCAACCTATCCAGCACATGAAGCATATACAGGGAATAAATATTTTTATATACAAATGAATAAAGGATATAATACAATTAGCTAAAAGTAAAGAATTTCTCAGCAAAGAAATCTTAGTGCCCACTAATCACCATACATATTTTTTTTTTTTTTGGTTGTCAGAGAGCACATGCACTCATTAGCGAGAGAGACAGAGAGAGAATGAGAGGCAGAAAATACCCTTCGAAGGTGTGGTCGCACTGAAATCCATTCTCCTTCATTTCTCTATCCTGCTGGCATTTGGAACCAGCACACACATATGCCTGGTATGCTTTTTAAACCACTGGGGACAGGATTCAAACCACAGTCAGGCTTGTGGGAAGCAACTACCCTTATTGCTAGGCGATAGGGCCCCATATTCTTGTTTTGATTTCAGTATTTATTCCCACATTGTATAGTAAGATTTATGTTTGGGGGTTTGGGATTTTTTTTTTTAAGTTGTAAGTAACAATCTATTGAGCCAAAGCAACTAGAAAACTGTCAACAGTGTCTCCAACAACCCTTTCTTAGGTAGAAATTAGTGTCATGGCAGGACATAATGCAAAGTCCTCATAAATGAGAACTCAAAAAAATTTCTCTTAAGTAAACCCTATACAACAGCCTCTTATCTCTAATGCAATACCCTAGGAATTAATGTATTCGTGGTTGTGATGAAGGAAGGCAAAGTTATAGCCAGCTTACTCACTATGAATTATACTGTTAATAGATTGTGTTCTTCAGTCTTTTCGTTTTCATTTTTTATGAATATTTTTGAAGTATCTTTTGAATTTACATTGGAAAAAAATTTCATATTACACTGTTATTACAAATCAGATGCAATTCAAAAAGATTTGACCATGAAAGACACAGAATAAGACTCTTTCCTCTGTTTTTTCCTCAGTGTTTGATCTATCTTCACTCTAGAAAAACAGAGAAAGCCAACTTATCTAAAATGCAAAGCAGCTCTTCTTCGCAAGCTCTATAGTTATTTTTTCATTAACTAATATATAGTGAAAACAATATTCTACACTCTTGTTATTATATAGTGACATTACTATAATATTTTTCAAAATCTCCTCCCTACTGTCAAGTTTATACAACACCCAAATTTCAGACATTCAAATATAAGCTAATGTGCAGATATGTAAAATTTGAAAAAAAAATCTCCATAATTGAGTCTTACTCTATAGTAACATCAGATAGATGATTAAATAGGTAAATATAGATTGTTTATCATTTGACGAAAAGGATTTTTTTTTTTTTTATGGTTTCTGCCATAGGGCACATGCACTTGCTAGGGAGCGGCAGTAGGACCAAAGGGGTGGCTACACAGCAACCACTTGTCCTTCATTCTCTTGTTGGGATTTGGAGCACACAAGCACACATGCCCAGCATAATTTTTAAGCCACCAGATCCTGCTTAAGCCACAGTCAGCCACGTGGGAGTCCAGTGCCTTGACCATCATGCCCTGCTAACCTCTTGGAAAACATTTTAATGTCATATTATTAAGACTTATCTTATATATTCATTAATTATTTAACTTAAGTTGATTAAACGTATATTCTCTGTGATGTGATTTGCTATTCTAAAAGCTTTAACCCGTGAACATTTCCTAGATTTTATGTACTACGTATGCTAGATGCTGTCTGTGTCTCATGTAAGGATGACTCATAAGCTCTAGGTGGTCTCATAGAGGTCACATTCTTTTGAAAGAAACATAAAATCCATGCAAATAAATACAGACATCTTTTATTGTCTGAATCTAATTTGTTCCAGAAAAAAACCTTTAGGATGGTGAATATTCAGAGTAAGAGCTTATATTCCATTGTATTATATATACAAAAAAAGTAACAGTGCATTCTCAGCCTATTCAAAATTCCCACCACCTTGCACCATCACCTTTAAGACACACTTATACACCAATCCAAGAGTATCTACCAAATGCTTCTGTGCAAAATAAAGTGTTTAAAACACCAGTGATCTAGTTATTGGCTACCTGACGAAGTCCAGGTGAGATAAAGTGGTTACCCAGTCTAGGGTGGTAGGAGTGAGGGTGGAGAGAAGTGGAAGGATGGATGATACACATTTTGAGTGGCTCCTGCCCTACAACAGCTTGCAGTCCAGTACCAAACAAAGACTATTTTGATGTATGACCAACCAAGTAGACATGATCTGATTGACATAAAATGTTTCTCTCTTCAGTCCTCAGGTGGAAGACAGTGAGGGGACTATTCAGTTTGATGGAGAAGGTTATGCATTGGTCAGCCGCCCCATTCGTTGGTTCCCCAACATCTCCACTGTCATGTTCAAGTTCAGAACATTTTCTTCAAGTGCCCTCCTGATGTATCTTGCCACCCGAGACCTGGTAAATATCATATGCATAGCAGATCTTCCATGTTCAAAAATACGCTTGCTTCTTTTCTGTAGAATTCTAATACAATTATCAGTAATTGGTAACTTTATCAATTATTATGAAAAGAAATCCAGGATGACTGTGATAGCCAAGAATGGGTGAAACAGATGGTGCTTATATTTTCACTAATGACTTTAATTGTGGACAGTTTAATTACTATTTATTTTCAACATAACTCCCTCCATCATTGTTTTTCTTTCTTTCTTTTTTTGGAGAGGTTTTTGCTATAGGGCACGTGCGCTCACCAGAAAGACAGAGAGAGACAGAGAGACAGAAAGCAAAAAATCCCCCCCCGGGGGGGGGCCCACACCTGCAATCCTTCTTCTCCATTC